TCTGAGGCACCCTCATCCTTTATAGAAGATGAAAGTACTCAACAATCCATTTGATGTATGTCAAAATTGAATGCATTTTTTTGTCAATATCGCTTATAAATTAGCCAACAAATGTTCTGCTTATCATCCACTGGATTTAATCCCTAGCAACATTCCTAGTATGGAATCTTTTAAACCTCCTGATATCCAATAAATTAGTATTTTTATAGAATTCTCAAAAGCTTCTGATACAGTCAACCATCATATTTTCCTCAAAAAGCTATTTTCACCACTGTGTTTTGCATATATGGTAACATAATGTTTTAAACAGCACACAATTTGTTTAAGGGTTTCTATTCCAGCAAAGCCACTACTAGCAAAGCTACTCTGTTGTGTTGTTCACAGGTCCATTCTTGGACCGTTACTATTTATTATTTATATTAATGATCTGGTCTCAAATACCCTTTCCCCATTAATGTTTGCAGATGACACAAGCCTAATTCTCCCTCAGTCAAACCTCAATACAATGATTAAGAATGTAGAAGGCACTCGCAATTTTTGCAGTTTTGGTTTACATTTTTGGACAGAGAGACAAGATATTTAGCAGAATAAGTATTAACTGTGTCATGGCCAATACACTTAACCTCTATCTTGTCCATATTTAGCTGCATAAAGTTCTGGGGTATTTGTCACAAATGCAGTTGTTGATATTAAGCTGACACAATTCTACTTACACTGAAAATAATTTATAGGAGACAGTGTTGTTTGCTGCACCAGTGAAACCTGAATTCTCTTCCTGCAGGAAAAACATCCTCACCCTGGCCAACCATATTCAGGTCTGCATCTCTGTGCTTACCTGCCTGACAACCTTGAGGGCAGAAAGGTTTTCAAGTTGCTGGACAAGGCCTTTCACCTGCAGCTCTTGTTCACTGTTGCTGCTGGTAAAGATGGAGGGGACATGGTCAATGCTTCCATCCCCATAAAAATACAACCAGATGGAGGACACCAAGTGTAAGTTAATATTGCAAAAACATGGTGTTAATGTTGAATTTAACATTAACACCTCTTGAACATCTAGTGATCCTTCAGCTGCAGGGATTGCCATGTCTGTCTCAATTGATCAGTCAATTAATCAATCAAGCAAGCAAACAATCAATCAAATTTTATGTGTATAGTTACTCCCCTCTTCTGCTCCTTGGCTCCTATGTCTGGTTGGTTAGCAATCAGCAGTTTGTCTACTTTAAGGTTACATTACCCATCAGTTATGTAAGCATCCACAAGGAGGAAAATTAGAGGGAGAGAGTTAACTACACTTCTCCCCCATGGAGAGGAAAATTGGAAGCAAAGATCAAGAAAGTCCATGTTCACAGTTCTTTCCATATTTTACTTGTTCTAGAGGCCCACTTATTAATATTCAACAGCATGGGGACCCTTATAGGAGACTTACTCTGACAGGGCTTCAAACCCCAGTCTACTGTTTCAATGGTGGCAACACTATCCAGCAACAGTGGAGAAACAGCAAAGAGGTTAAACAACATTACAGTTGAATTTTATGAATATATGTTTTCTAGTGATGAGTGAGTACACCATTATCTATATTAGTTAGAAGAT